GAACGCCGGTGACCACCTCCTGAACACCCTAGGACCACCTCACTGTCCTGAACATGGATCTTCCATCCATTTGCCTCGAATCACCTTCCTTCATCTCGAATCTTCATTTGAAGATTCGAGTCGAACCCTGACCTATACCAAACCTCACCATCTTCGTACCAGACATTCCCCTGACCTATAACTAATGGATTAGTCGACTCGATAAACGTCGACTCGATAAACGTCGACTCAATAAACGTCGACTCGATAAACGTCGTCGATTAGTTTTCTATAACTAATGGATCAAATGAGCTAATAATTTCACATGACTAATTGAACCATGTCACTGACTAAATGCCCGACATTGTTTGAAATGGGTTTGTTTGCATTGCAAAAACGACTGAAAAGGTTCACTCCAGGGCAGTCCTGAATTTGAACTTTCAGAAGTTCAAAATGCCCTGATGTTGCAATGGGTTTAGGGCAGTAATAATCAAGGTTTAACAAGGGTAGTATGGGGTTCGAAAAGAACAGGAAAAGCTTAGTTTAAGTGAGCTGACAAGTAGGGTACTGAATTAGGATTAAATTAATGTCAATGGGGAACAAGACATAAGAGCATGGGAATTAAAAAGAATACTTAAATGAACCCATAACTCTTGAACAAAAGGAATAAGCCAGGCGTGGGGAACAAAATGGCTGGCATCAAGAAGATGCTTAGGCATGGGGTTTAATAGGTATGGGCAGTCTGCAATTGGCAGAATCCAGGCAGCTTAGCTGCACTGGGTTGTTTGGCTTATAAATAGGCTATTTTCAGAACTTAAAAGGGCTGGATTTTTAGTCTTCAGAAAAGGAGAAAACAAAGAAAAATTTCCAGAACACTTTAACTAAACACTGTCCAAAACTGCACTAGGTACTAAGTTGGTTGAGCTGTTCTGGCCAAGTCAGTTATTCTAACTAGGGTTATTACTGTTCCATTAAGAGAAGGTTGTGTGTCTTCTGCTGTGATTGTTACTACACTAAGTTTTCTGTGTGCTGTGGATTGAGTTTCAGTCTTCCTGATTGTCGGAACTGTACTGTGTATTTGCTGAGCTTTGTGGTTATTGGATTTTCTGTTGCTGTTACATTCGATATCTTGGGTTTTCCTGCTGTCTCTCTGCTCTGTTTTCTGGGATTGTCTGTCCATTGCTCGATCACTTGTTGAGCTTCATCATTGTGGCTGTTTTGGTTGTTACTGTGTTGTGCTGTTTACCTGCTGCTGCTGTGCTTACTGTGTACCACTCAACTGATCCTTTTCCTTCTTCTGTTCTCTATACCAGGTACACAACTAATACACTGTCAATGTAATTGGAAATTGAGCATGAATACAAAGGAAAAGACCTGAAGAATGTCTTTTATACATAGGTTGTTACATTAAATATCATGTAATGTATAATAATTTTCGTTCCTGTTTGGGTACTGGAAGTAGCTTGCGTGTCTAGTAGATATCAATGTAGATTAGTTGGATGTTAGTTTATATATGTATACCGTTAGGTAAAAAATATGCCCAATACAATAGGTTGTATCCCAGACTTGGTTTAATTGTGTAACATATCGTTTAATATATGCCAAGCATGAAATTATCCAAGTTCATCTCCTTTGGATGAATTGCTTTGTTATAATTATTGATCAGCCACACCTTTAGAACAAAAAACACAAGTTTATGGTCTCAACCTCACAGGGGTCGAGCTCAGGTCGAAACAGACCAAGCAGGCCCGCATCGAACAAACAGTGGCCCAGGTCTGGCCCATCCCGCATGAGCTGGATTTGGGCCCGTAATGTTCAATCAGCTGTCCGTGTGCGTAGTCATATTTTCTTATTCTATAAAAGCATTTTGAATCCTGCTATAAATAAGCCTGCAAGCATGTAATTAACTAGGAATATCTCGGTTTCCAATTAGTAGAAACAAACGCGACAAGAAACGTAGTTGCTATAGGAAATCCTTTTAAAACAAGGACGAGATGAGCCTCGACAAGACAAAGAACAAGCTGCGGGGCCCTCGTTAAATGTATATATCGAAGCATTCAGTTTCCAAGGTGGGGCGTTTAGCAAATCTCACGAACCTCCCGGAATAATAACGCGATATCCTCTTTAAGCGCGTATTTAATAATCTTACCTTCTTAAGTTCGGGTGCACATTTATGTGACCCAAATCAAAATCTCGACGGATTCGAGATGTGTTTCTGATCACGGGTACATTGGTTGTGACGTGGTTCGAGATGCGTG